CACCACTGCAAACTCGGTCAAGCAGAGTTTAGTGGCGGGCGCTGTGCAGATGTCCTGCAGGGACTGACTGATGCGATCATCAGCCTCTCTGCTCCTCTCTGTGTCGTGGTCCCTGTCTGTGTCCTCAGCGATGGTCTCTCTTGCAGTTCCGTGGAGAGGAAGGTTCAAGGGGCTCCAAGCGTTTGTTGAATGGTTCTGCAGAAGCCGGGAAATCTGAGGGGCTGCCAGGGGGTTCTGAAGAAAGATCAGGGGATTCTGAAGAGTTGCAAGAGAGCCATGATTGAGAGAGACCAGTGCTGTCTTCTGGGCTGGTTGGTTATGAAGAGATGTGGAGGGATGAGAAGCTGGGGGCAAGATCTGAGCCGACAGGCTCTGCGGAGCTGCCTCGATAGACATATGGCTGCTCGAAGGGGTAGTGGAGACCAGCACGGCGTCAGGAGACCGCTCCGACACACATTTCTGGTAGTGTTTTGCTAGAGAAGTGGCGCAGGTCTCCAGAGAGAGCCCAGTGCAGAAGACTTGACTTAAGCCTCGAGTGGTGATCTCCAGTTCTTTAAAATACTCACTGCTCTCAGCCCAGTTCCTCCAGCTGTGCATGACCCAGATCTTGCTGTTGAGGAGCCAGTGGATGTGGAGCTGTGGCAGCAAGTCAGGCTTCACAAAATCGCTCAGAACAGTATGCATCTTTCGCAGGTTGCTCTCTGTGGCTGCACACATTGTGTTCCTCAAGGTATTCAGAATTAGCCTTTCCGTGTAGCACTCCAAAGACATCTGGTGGATCTTGTGCTGCAAGTATTTGCACACGTGGAAGACGGATAGCTGCACTTCTGCCGACGGGAACGCTTGGGAGAGGATCGGCAATAACGGGAAGTGTGGGTCCACCAGGAAGGTCTGGATCTTCTTCCACTCGGGGTTAAACGCCTTGAATGTCTTGTAGAGGCGAGACAAGCTCTCTGCAGACTCCTTCGCGGGGACTGCGAAGTGAATGACCTTCATCATCTCACCCTCCAGCTTCAGGAAAGGCTTGTCGACCATGAACATGTACAGAGCTTTCCCCTTGCCGCTGTGCGTCCTGTGGATGAGCACGACCTCGGGGAAATGCACAAATATGTCTCGCATCAGGTTGGTCTGGAAGCTGATGGCATCCAGCTGGGAGGTTTTATCTAACTGATAAGTCACCAGGGAGCCGCAGTCGAAGCTCAGGAGCTCCCTCACCGTTTCCAGGGCCATTGCTAGCAGTCGGTGTCTGCGTGCTGTTGGCGCTCGAGCCCCAGTTCCCTCGGTGGTCGAGGCCTGTCCACAGCAGGAGAGCAGCCCCTCACACTACCTCGGTCCGAGAGGCCTGGGGGGTGAGGAGGCAGAAGGGAGGAACAGGAGGGCAAGTGGTCAGGACCGATTCTGCCGCCCGCCTTTCCCTGCTGGTCAGACAGCAGGCGACGGGCCGGCGAAGCCACCTTCCACCCCTGCCCCCCAGCAGGCTGGGCCGCCCGCCGGCAGGAGCGCAGCACAGCGGGCACCGGGCACCGGGCACCGCTGCAGCAGCTCTCACACCTGGGGCTGGGAGCGATCCCAGCATGCCCCGCTCCTCCCAACCCCTGCTGTCGGGGGGCAACGGCACTTCCCGGCGTGCCCCGGCGCCCGCCCCACCGCCTTACCTGCTCCAGACGGGCCAGCTTCCCCAAGCCGCCATTTCCTGCTCTCCTCCGCCCCGTCCGTGATGGACACAGCAACTCGCCAGTCCTCGGGCGGCGCTTTCAAAGCTGCAGCCAATCAGAATACTGGTGCTGTTCTCGGCCAGCAAATCCACCAATCAGTGGCCACGGACCCGCCACGGTTCAGCGGGGCGGGCTTCTGCTGCCGTGGCGACGCATCCTCCAATAGCTATAGACCCTCCTAGCAACCAGCCCATGACCTCAGAGAGAGACGCCCAATCAGCGCCGGCGAGGTCACGTGACTCACCCAGGTCGTCACGTGACTCGCACGCCGCGCCACCGCCCGCACGTGGCAGCCGCGCTGCTCCGGGGAGCGCCCTGGGTGGCCCCTGGTCCTCGCACAGGGGGAGACGCCCGGCGCAGCGCAGCGCCCGGGAGAAATACGGCTGGATTACCATGGAGCTGAAACCACGTTTTAATAATTCGCAATTCATTTGGTCTGAACACACAGCAGCAAAGGGGCGCTGGTGGTGGCAGAGCGGGAGCCGCAGCAGCATTGCACTTCCCTGGGGAGCGAACTCTCTGCGCCCTGCCCAGCGCCCCGAACAACTCTCCTGTTGCCTGGGCAGCGAGAGCCAGTGCACTCCAGACTTAAAAACCAAGAACTATCGAATGAACGGAGGGAAACTAACCACCTTGACCATGGGCCCCGCTGCCGGGCCAGTCCTTCCTAGGCTTTGGTGGAAGAACAGGGGCGAAGAGCCCTCCAAAAAGGGGATATTGCTAGCCTGGCTTTCGCAGCCCTAGTGCCAGGCAACTACTGGCTGGTCAGAGGGTGGCCAGCTGGGAACTACCCTATTACAGGTGCCTAGAACCTTCACAGAGCTGGGAGGCAGTCGACAGCCGGGCACCGGGGAAAGTCTCAGGTTCCTTAGCTGGATCTTTAACAGTCCTACAAGTTCACCGTAACCCTGAATCTCCTTGGGGCAGAGCGGGAAGGGGAAGAGAGGCTGGGGTAGGGTCAACCCATTAGCTCTCCACGAACAGCTCAGTTCATCTTTCATGTCCGAATCCAGCAGGCTTCACCTTTCACATTAGCAATTTCTTGGTGTCTGTCGGTGACTCTGCAGAAGCTGCTGCTGCTGGCTCCACTTCCATCTCCTCCTGTTTTACCCAGAGGAAAGGCAGGTCCCCCACATTTCTGCAGGTAAAGGGTTTCTCATCTTCTTCCTCCGGCTCGGAGGACTTAGTCCAGATATCCACAATCATTCTGAGCGTGGAGCTGCGCTCCTCCAGCTCCTCCCCATCGCACTGCAGAAGCAGATTCGCAAGCTCCTTGCTGAGGGACTGGATTTTGTCAGACCTTTCTTCTGCCCCTGGCTGGGCACCTGCTAAGTGCTCAGTGTGGTCCAGGAGCTTCTCTCCTAAGCCTGACGGGTGTTGATGCTTCTTCTGCCAGCGCTTGCACACCATAGCTTCATCTACTGCCCTCTTGTTTGCATGCAGCACAGACAGGATGTGCCTGCAGGGCAGCCGGTACCGACAGTGGAAGTAACAACTGCAGCTCGTGCAATCTTTGCTGACCTGGTGCGTGTCTTCTAACAGCTGAGCCACAATCTTGTTCTTCATGCTGATTATCTTGGTTGACTTCTGCATCACCTCCCACTCACTCAAGTACAGCTGGTAGCTCAGGTCAGTGCAACTCTTGTGCAAAGCTGCCAGCATAGCGCCTGTGGCCTTAGCTGGTTCCTGCTTGACGACCTGCTGGGGAGGCTCAGGAGAGCTGATCCGGGCCTGCACAGGAGCATCAGGAGCACGTTTTGGGGTGGCACGCGTGCGTGCTTTAGGCTTATCGAGGCTGTTCCGGCCGTCCTCTGGTGACAAACCCTGCTTCAGGTTTTCCAGGCCTTTGGTGTCGAAGCAGTCTGCGTATTCGACAAAGTGAAGGATGCTCGTCTCCAGTGGCGATTGCTTGCTAAAGAGAGTGGATAGTTTATGGGTGATGAAGTCCAGACTGTCCATGTAGGTGCTGCAGGAAAGGAGACCTTTCTTTGCATGCAAGTACCATAGCATCTCACAGGAGAACCAGTTGGCCTGAAGAGAGTCAAACAACTCTTTGTCCACCAAGCGCTTCACCAGCTGAGACAAGCCGTCTAGATTTGGGCTAGAAGGGGAAAAGACAGCCTCCCTCAAAGCTAGTGTCACATTACGCTTGAAGGAAGAAGAGACTTCTGCTTCCTCTACCTTCTTCTCTAGGAGTTGGGCAGTGTGATAAACAGAGAGCAGCACTTTGGCTGATGGAAAGAGCTCCTGCAGGGTGGCTTTGTGAAGGAAGGCCATGTCCACAAAGACCACCTTGACTTTCTGCCACTCTGGATTGAACTCCTTGAAGACTGTGAGCATTTTACTCACGTTCTCCCCAGTATCCTCCTTGAGGACAGCAAAATGAACCAGCTTCCCCACTCGGTCCTTGCTTTCTGCTAGGAAGGCATAAAGCACGTGTCCTCTCTCACTCTGCACCCTGTGCAGCAAGAGGCTCTCAGAGAACTTGACAAACAGGCTCTTCATTTTGCTGGTCTGGAAGTTCAGCCTGTCGAGCTCCTGGCTGCTGCCCACACTGATCGAAGCCAGTGACCCCATGTCCACCCTCAGGAAGTTTTTCATGACTTCAGCAACCTTGACTAAAGCTGAGGGAGAGGCATTTTCCATGACTGCCTCAGGAACCTTACTGAGCAGAGAAGTTGACCTGTCTGGAGTCCTGTCAGGTGTCGCAGAGTCCTTGCCAGCTGTTTCACAGTCTTCTGCCTTAGTTTCTTGTTGTCTACGCAGTTTTGTTGCAGGTTTGTCATCTACCGTGGAGCTGGCTCTTCTTGTCATCCGAGAAGAGCCAGTAAGAACCACGGGAGTCCCTGGCTCGACATGAACGTGTTTACTGTTCAGCTCTGTGATCACCAGCCGGTCAATCTCCTCATTATATTGCAGGACAAAGTAAGCAGGGCACAGGTTGGGCTCTTGTTTCCTCTTCTTACTGTATTCCCGTGATCGGATACAACAGAATTTCACCAGCATGAACCTAGGGAAGAGGAGAAAAAGTTAACAAAAAATCAGCAGGATATAGCTCTGGAGTAGCAGAGTTTAGCACTGCTCGCTCACATGCCTGCCCATGTATCCAAAGACTGAACACGTGAAAAGGATGTCATATAAAGGTCATAACCAAAGGTGTTAGGAAGGTTCAGAAAGACATCATTGAACACAGCAGATACAAGACTAAATTTACTGCCACATTTGGCCTCAAGCCCTCATTTCTGATGGTGCATCCAATGTTTGTTTCTGACTTGCCCAGTCCACAGAGGCAGCAAGATCGAAAACAGATCATCATTGCCATCGCTTCTGAAAGCAGCCCTGAAGAATGAAGGAGCTAGGCTCCGATTCTGCAGTCTTTACTCATGTGACTAGATCCACTGGCTTCTGCAGAAGCGGTATCGGGCCAATACTCCCGGAGAATTTCTCACATCAATAAAGGCTGCAGAATCAGGCCTCGCAAAGTGTAACAGAATATCAAAATCTATTAATTTTGAAGTGGCTGGAGAATGCCAATAGACACTGCAGTTGACACAGAGAGTGTCCTTAGGAAAAGATGAATGCATGAAATCAGAAGTAACCAGCATGCCTTCATAAAGGTATCACCTCAGAGATCAGCGTTAAAACCTGGTACAGGAAACGAGAGAGCATGCAACACATCAAAACTAAAGCCAGAGGCCCGCCTGCAGAGGAAGATCTCCGTGAAAGATGGGGGGGATAATACATGTGGGTGAGGAGGGAAATGAGAGAACACGTTAATGAAGCAGAGAGATACTCCATAATTAAGGGGTGATGGCGCACGCACTCAGAACTGGCTGAGCTTCTACAACCGACTTGTTGAGTGCAGCAGAAACTCAATGCGCAGGAACCTAGAATTTGTTTCCAAGTTTAGCACACACCATTGTACTCCCTGACTTGAAAATGTAGCCCATGACTTTTTGACCAGATGTAGTCCAGGCACAAGAGATCATGTTCAAACAGGCAGGTCAAGAGCTCTTACGCTAAGTGGACACGAAGCTGGACTGGGGCCTAGGAGGGCTGGGAGAAGTTCCAGGTTTTGAAGCCTGCTCGACATGAACATGACTGGAAGAAGCCACGTCCAGGCCCTGCGCCCCTGTCCCCATCTGTGAAATGGGGACAGCGCTACTGGCTTGTGGAAAGCACTGAGACTTGGGCATGGAAAACACTGCAAGAGGCCCAGGCGCTGCGTCTTTCTTATAGCAGTTTCCATCCCAAGGCATTTAAGAGGATGCACTTCAAAACCTGCCACCGCCGTGACCGTTTCAGCTGCATGCAGCAGCTTTAGACAGGAAGCGAGACAGAATCCTGCAGGCAGTTCAGATGGCAAAGGTCAAGGGTCCACGGCTGGTCCTGGTACTGCCTGGCTAAGACACCTGGTTGGTGGGCACAGGCCTCCATGGCCTCCTGCTGCTCTGTGCCCCGCGCCCCTTCATCCATGCGCTCCCCATCCATGGCTCTGCCAGGGCCTGGCACCTCCTCCTGGCCTGGGCCAAGCTGGTGTGCACCCAACCAGGATGGAGGCTCTGGCCCACAGCGCCCCAGGGGCTGCTTGCCTCACCCTGCTTCGCACCCGTCTCCGAGCAGGGTGTTGCTGGGCAGCGCCCGCTGGCTCCGCACGTGTTCAAGGGCCCACAGGTGCCCCCGTGGTGCTCTTGTTATGACCCCGTGACCTCTGCCCCCATCATTACTTGCCCCAAATCCCCTGCAACGCATCACTAGCAGTCCCTGCACCAAAGGGAGCATATGGCCTCCCTGGCAGTTGGTGGGCAGGTGCCCAGAGAGTTCAGGGCACTTACGTGATGTCCTCGCGGATGCGGGTGCCATGGCGGCGGTTATAGAAGCGCACAGAGGTGCAGGTCTTCAGGCCATAGTGGCACCGGTTCTCCTTCTTGTACGTGCTGAAGCACTCCTTGAAGTCCTCATAGTTCTTGAAGCAGGAGCCCACCTCCATGACGCCCTGGCTGTGTCCCGCTCAACCACAGCCCCTCACGCGGGCAACACCTCTCCTGTGCCCTAGGACCCCCCGGGGCCTGGCAGCGCCTCCCAGCCCTACCTCGTGCTGCTGCCCTACCTTTGCACCCACTGCTACGCCAGGCAAGTCGAGGCTGCGCCCCACTCCCCTGCACTGGGGCCCGCTTCCGCCCCGCGCCTCTTAACCCAGCCCGAGCACCGCCCCCCGCCGCGCGCTGGCCAATCAGGGGCCGCGGAGACAGCGCGGCAGCGGCCCCGCCAATCGG